CTTCTACAGGTGCACCATAGAGAGGATCCTGACCTTCTACAGGTGCACCATAGAGAGGATCCTGACCTTCTACAGGTGCACCATAGAGAGCATCCTGACCTTCTACAGGTGCACCATATAGAGTATCCTGACTTTCTACAGGTGCACCATAGAGAGGATCCTGACCTTCTACAGGTGCACCATAGAGAGGATCCTGACCTTCTACAGGTGCACCATAGAGTATTCTGGCCTTCTACAGGTGCACCAAGAGAGCATCCTGACCTTCTACAGGTGCACCATATAGAGTATCCTGACTTTCTACAGGTGCACCATAGAGAGCATCCTGACCTTCTACAGGTGCACCATATAGAGTATCCTGACTTTCTACAGGTGCACCATAGAGAGCATCCTGACGTTCTACAGGACTAAAACCACCAGACTCAGGGACAGTTTCATCCCACAGGCCATAAGACTGTTAAAACACCTGAACTTTTGAAACAACATCCATAACATTAATCTGGCTGCAATTTAGAAATTATTTATCTAATATATTCAATCACGTGCACTATTTCACTTTTTTACTATTTTTCTTTTTGTATTTACTTGCGCTATTCTTTCAGTTTTTCTGTTTTATTGTGTTGCACTGTTGGAGGAGCCTGTGACCTAAAATTGTCATCGTCATAACTACACTGTAGCTATGTACGTATGACCAATAAAAGCCTTGAACCTTGAACCTTGAAATGCACGTTTTTTTCAGCTGGATAATCTCCACATCTCTACCCTACTTTTATAATTTTCGAATCATAAATCTAATCGCCAGAAGCAAAATGCTAACGTTATGCAATAAACGAACTACAGCAGGGTCGCACGACTTCAACGTCACGCCAACTTAAGATCGATATTCAAAAATACAGATTCAAAATTGTACAAGTTGAAGCGTTTGTTTTAACAGTTTGCAGGAGCGCAGGTACTTGCTTTCAAGCAGAACAGGGCAAACAAACTTAGCGGGAGTGTTTACGTGTTCGGCGTAATGACGTACAACGTCCTCGACAACTTCTGTAGTCCTATTCAGCCACTTGTTAACAACCATCGTTTTTCAGACACGTAAACTAAAAATCACCAGTGGGGTCACTGCTGATGTATTTAATGTCGTAGAACAAAACGTGATCCGTCTCCTAAATATGTGTCAACCACAGACCTTATTTCGAGCTATTTTCCAAAATCCTATGGAGGAATCCCATTGACTCTGCGACGAAGGAACGGGAAGTGGTAAAATGCTAACTTACTTCCGGGTTTTAGGACTCGTCACTGCACCACTCTATTTCTTCCAAAGATGTTTTTACACATTTTGACAGCTGTGTTTTGCTTCCCTTTGTTTGTAGCCTTTATTTAACCAGGTTAACTGGTTGTATCTAGACTGTGGTTTAGGACTACGATGAAGTGCCCCCCGCAAATTAAAATCCCTTCTGTTTCTGTTGCTATAACATTAAACAAGGATTTAAAGAAGTTCTTATTGCTTTCTGGAGGTGCATAGACATTAATCAACGTTGCACTTTCATTTTCCAGTTTTCCCTTCACTAGTATATATCTTCCCTCTTTATTCTTAAGTTCCTTTTCACAAACCAATGTAGCAGACTTGGATCCTTCGATTTTGACTGGTCATTTACTGAACATCATGCATACTGTTTTTTTTACGTTTAACTGAATGTTGTTCAGCCAGTGTTGAACCTTGTCCAAAGCATTAGAGAGACAAGATGCGATCATTTCAGTGTTTTTCCCGTGTATAAAGATGACCGCATCATCGGCATACATTTGCACATTCAAATCAGGACATACATTAGGCAAGTCATTAATGTACAGTGAAAACAGTAATGGTCCAAGAATGGAACCTTGTGGAACCCCAACAGGGTTGACAAGGTAGGGGGATTTGGCTCCGTTGACCAAAACACACTTTTTTCTGTTCGATAAGTAAGACTTTAACCAATGTATTGAATCTGCCGAAAAATTGAAATAAGTCAGCTTTGTAAGGAGCACTTGGTGGTCAACAGTGTCAAAAGCCTTCCTGAGATCAAGGAAGACAGCACCTACATATGGACTCGTGTTCAACATACATTTAACCTTTTCCACAAAGACACAGTTAGCTGTCTCAGTGGAGTGGTGAGCACGAAAGCCAAACTGCATTGGGTGGAGTGGAGCGAAACCTTTGTCTAAATGTTTGGTGATTAGTTTTGACACCCATTTCTCAGCTATCTTAGAGACACAGGGGAGGATGCTGATAGGTCTTTAATTTCAAGCTCTGCCTTAATAGTTGGTCTCTAGATTGCATTCGATTCCTTCATTGTAGATTCAGCCAGGGAAGATGATGTTCCTTCCTATCCCTAAGGCACCCTCTTCTTGAGAAAGAAGACATTGTATCATTAATTTTAGATTATCGTTTTCACCAAAATCTTCAGAGGAGAGAGTGTCAATCAATCATTTTCACTGCATCCATAAAACGTTGTTGCAGATTTTTGGGGATGAAGCAAGAACCGAAGGCAGGGGTTTTAGGTGTGGCCATGAACCTTTTTTTGGTGAGTTTCCTGGTAAAAAGAACAAGATTATGGTCAGAAAGACCAGTCAGGAAGTTGTAGGTTTGAACTATTCTGTCAGCTTTGTTAGTAAATAATAAATTTATCATAGTCTTGGAGGTTTTGGTTATTCTAGTCGGTTGATCCATTAGTTGTATTAAGTTGTGTTTATCCGTGATCCGTTTTAAGTTCTTTCTATTTTGTTTATCATTCCAGTTTATGTTAAAGTCTCCTAAAATAATTAGCTCTTTGTTGGAGTCACAGGAATTGAGTTTTACCTGATCAGAGAAATCCACCTTAGCGGTGGGTTGTCGATATAGGCAAATCATGGTGAGGGACATTTCCTCAGATAGTGTGATTTCCACACCAACACAATCAAACTCAATATTAGCTGGGAGTGCAATCTCCCTACAAGTAATGGTATTCCTCACATAAAGCAACACACCCCCTCCATTTCCCTTCAGTCTGTCCTTCCTAAACACATTATATCCTGACAGAGATACAAGAGTGGATGGTGACGACTGTTTTAGCCAAGATTCCGATATTCCCAAACAATCAATATTGGACTCAAGGAGATGTTCTAGCTGTTCATGTTTATTACAGATGCTGCAGAAATGTAAATGTCCACTGAATAGTCCCTTCGGCTTGCACCGAGGATCCCACACTATTTTAGCTTGATTCATTATTTGAATTTTTTTTGTGTAACAGTGTTTTTTAAATACCGGATTTCTAGGCTTTACCTCGGTGCCGTTGTTGACAGTGGAGCAGTCAGAGCTAGCTGTTGGTTTGTGGTTCTCTGTCGCTAGGCTGCTAGCCATCGGCGCGGACCCACAGTTCTCCGGCAGAGCTAGCTGTTCAGCTAGCTTGCCTCGTCCGAAGCCAGCCGGCGCAAGCCCACAGAGATCCTCGGGCAGAGCTAGGTGTTTTGCTAGCCGGCCTCGTCTGAAGCCAGCCGGTGATGCATGGTTCTCCGCTGCTGTGTTTTTAGCCCTCGGTGTGGGCCCCCAGTCCTCCGATGGTGTGGATGTTGGTCCTGCTGCTAGGTCGGCAGCGCAAGACCGCAGAGACCCGCTGGTGGTGCTAGCTGTTCAGCTAGCCAGCCTCTTCGGAATCCAACTGATGGCGTGTGGAGCTCAGCGGCTGGGCCGCCAGCCGCCAGGTCGATGGAAACTACGCCGAGACCCAGACACGGGTGGATATCTCCCGAGAGCAAGAGACATAGCAGAGCCAATAGCCCAATATTCTCCTCTTTTCGTTTTAGACCCTTTTTTTTGTTTGAGAGAGTCTGCCAGGAGTGCCAGATGAATGAACTGTAGATAATATGCCGACCATGGCCGAAGTGCTTGATATTCAACGATGTTGCTGGTGCAGATAATGATGTATCCTCAACATGTTGTTTTACCATGGGGGCAAGATGAGTGGTGTAGCTACACAGAGGTTTGAGATTTAGGACAATCATGCAGAGATAGATTGCTGCCACTGCGCCTGAACTGTCTGCCGCCATCTTGGAAAAACGGTCGTGTGAGAGCTCTATGGGCGCGTTGAATTTGCAGGTCGGCTCCTTCAGGTAACTTTAACTCCGTTTTAAGCATTGTATCCAGATAGCCGACGACAGAGCCTCCTTCTGTGTCCTCGCCTCGGGCAAGCCGAAAATCCGGACATTGTTTCTCCGTGGCCTCGCTTCAAGGTATGTTATTTTGTCTTGCATCTCGTCCCTGGCCAACATGAGGCCCCACGCAAAGTTATATGATGAGGCCCTCTGTTTCGCGAGCATCAACGGGGGGGGACTAGCGGTGCCTCGCAGCGGCGAAACCGTGCCGCGCCACACTAATTGCGCTGCATAAGCGCATAGGTGTGCCGCATTTTCGGCTCAGTTGAGACACCCTCTGCAGGATGAGGCCCCCTCCGCAAGGTGAGGCCCCACGCAGTCTGCATGATCGGCCTGTAGGGAGGGACGACCCTGCTCCGACTGTTTACCTTCACTCAACCAAAGCCTGCTTGAATCGGTCAATACAATACTACCAGCACAAATGGACTAAACACAGAAACCAGGACGTTTCTGAAACCAAAACACTATTCAGATGTATAAAGTAAAGTAAAGTACATCCTTTTGTAAGGGCAGCTGCAGTATGACCTGAAAGTGAAAAAAAGTTTCCTATTTGGAACGTAGCCTCTGTATTTAACCTGCACTTTATTTGTATTTAAATAATACTGACTTCACAAAATGTACAACCATATACTACATTAAATGAATTACTCTCGTGTATTCTTACTCACCCAATTACTCTCTGCTTCACACAACTTGTAAGGCTATATGTACAACACTGTTCCTCTTATGTGAATGGCAAGACCCTCAAATGAAACCTGCTGGTTTGATTTTAACCTCATAGACATTGCTTTCCACTTACTTGAATACAGGACCAAAGGGTCCATGCAGTGGTTTTCTGTTTTTACCTGTGACTGTGGGTCTTCTCCTTCTCGTTGGACTCCTCCCCTTCAGCTGTGGATTGGCCCCTGGACCCTTGAGTGTGACGCCTCCTCCTCTCTCCATTGGCACCACTGACTCCTCTGGAGTTCCTCTCCCCCTCCCTGTTGGATGAACGTCCATCTTTGGGGCAGGATCTTCGCTCTCCCTTCTCCCCACTGTTCACTGTCCTGTTGCCCCTCCGGGACTGCCGGTGTGAATGATGATGCCGATGCCCTCTCTCGCTCGTGACTCCTCCCCCACCGCTGTCATCCACTGAGCTCTGAAGGTGATGCCTCCTGCCCCCCTCTCGGCTGCGGGACCTCTCGCTCTTTGCCTCTTTTCCCTGGCTGTCGCCGGGCTCTTTAGACCGGCTGTGATGGACGTGGTGCCCCCGGTCCTTACTGGTGCCCCCATTTTCGTTAGCCTCCTCCCTGGTTCTGGCCCGGTCCCGGTCTCTGTGGCGGTGGTGGCGGCGGGGCTGGAGAGGAGCAGGAGGGGGGGGGTCAGTGGCAGCCTCTGCCTCCTCTGGCATGCAGGCATTGTGATGGTGGTGCTGGTGGCCGGCAGGACATGACCTGTCCAGAGGCGCAACAACCAGGGGCCGGTCCAGGTGGGTCTTCATGTCGGACCGGACCAGTTCGCTGTAGAGCGCCTCACAGCTGGTCTGGTTCTGCCTCCTCAGCTGGTTGGCCCTCTGCTCCCACACTGACATGGTCTTCAGTGACTTCTGCTGCTCCTTACTACAGTTGGGGCAGAGGACCAGACAAATCAAAACCCCTCACATTGATGTTATCATATTAAATACTGTGGAAACCACGTTGATGTCAGCGCCACATATTGATCACAACATTTGTTATTTCTACAAAGGGTATGATCATTTCGTACAGATACACTCACATTCATTTGAGGCATAACACATTCAATATCAATCTTCATTGCACATAATATCATTATATATTTTGTTGTACATTTCAGGATGGTACACATAGTCCCTACATGCTGATGGTTTACAGTATGACCAAGTTGCAATGAAACTTTCAACACAGCAAACACTTGGTCAATTCATCACAGTGAGCTGCAGAGAAAGGAACCAGCATGGCCACATGACCATGCTTTGACATGCTACTTATTTTCTGTCAGTGTCTCTGTGTAACTCAGTACTTTTGATTAGCTTTTGATGTTTTAAGTATTAGAAGTACATGTACTTCTAATACTTAAAACAGGGCCATCTCCTAACAGTGGGGAATTCTATTTCTAAGGTATATTCACACAGAACGTGAAGCAGATATTGTAGAGGGCAATGAAATATAAAGTCGATGCTAAAACACAAACACATGTAGATTTGTGCAAGGCGAGGAAAATATAGCAAACACCAATTCTGTGTCATATTGTGAGATGAAATTGTTCAACTCAAGTGAGAAATTCATATGACAGTGTGTAGAGAAATCCTATCAGTTCGAGATTATCTTGATGACTGTAATCTGTTGAATTTGAATCAGAAATGAAGGAGTAAGTGTAGTTATCTGTGGGCAGCTCTCATGAATAATTCACATTTTGCCATTAGAGGTGTCACGTTAAACGCTCACATCATAATGTAGTTATTTCAGCATCCTTTTGATCTTTGTTTGGCAATTAAGTAAACACAATGTATTGTGGGTTAATATCGCTCTAGTAGACCAGGGAAATTGGACTTGTAGCTTTAATGATGTAGAGTTTCCCTTTGCATTTGGTATGAACACAGCATCCTAATGCCATATCTTTAATAGGCATTTCATAAGAGAAGATAGGAAAGAGAAAATAAAGCTACCCTATTTGCCCTTCAGTAGCTTTATTCTTACTCACCTTCTACACACTGTATGTAAAACTTCAATAGTAAGCACCCTACCATACTCCTGCTAAGAAGCTGATGAACAATATGAATCAGAAAAGCATGTCACATGGTGTTCATGTAAAGGATGCATGACACTGTGTTTTTGTGTCATTTAGATTCTTAAAAGTATTGTTGCCAAGCATGTAAATGACAACATGATTGTTTTTCAGCATATGATCATTATCATGGACCACCTCTCTAGCAGGCGGTTGGGTTTACCTCAGGTAGTGATGGACTGGGGTGCAGACATAACTCCTACAAACACAAAAAGGAACAACAAACAGAAACAGAGGGAGAGAAGGAACTTCAAAGAGACAGAAACAGGTTACAGACACAAACACAGAGGGGCTAATAAGCATCAAAAACTGACAGGGGCAGAAACATGTGCAGTACAGATGGAAAACCATACAAAGCCCTACAACAAGATGTTTTAGCTGAGAAGAAGCAGGGAAATAATAATGGGGACAGGAGAGAACGATACGTCCATAAATATGCATGCTACCGTGCAGTCATGTGACTGTTTTAAGTGGAGAGTTTGGGTGGTTTCAATGTGGCTGCAGGGTCTGCTTCTCTTAGTGGGATGTCACCGATGCTACTCAGGCAGAGGGGGTTATTACAGTGACCTTGTTTTTATTTGCAGTTCTTTTGATATCTCAATACGTTTAAATAAGGAAAAAGTGTGTGACCATTTATCTATATACTTGTGACATTGGTCTTATTTAAACTGTGAGTATGTTTAATCAACACAGTCTCACTCCCTGATAGTCCAATAGCGACGCTTGGTCAGGGTCCTTTGGCGTGCAGTTGTGACGCACCGAGTCTCCTTCAGCTTCATAAACGGACGCAAAGAGCTTTCAACTGATTGCAATGTATTCCCATCAGCGGCGGTATTTGACGCTCAGGGAAGCACAGCATCGGTCCATGTCGGTGGCAGTTAAAGGCAATGTGAGCGTCCATTCCCATTGGATAACAGAGAATTTTACACCCGGAAATAAGTATTCTCCTTACTGTCGATTGATTTGACAGTGATATCTGCACTACTCATCAACTCAAAAACACCAGATTATCCTTGTTAATTACACAACATTGATTGGTTTCAATTGTGTACAATGGTTTTGTGTTTTTCCCCTTCGATTCTGATAAACAAATAGTTGTATCGGAGTTTAGGATGGCCGAAGACACTACACCACCCATAATCCTCAGCTATCGTTTGAGACTACACCATGCGCTTTGCTCAACAAACCCCGTGATTAGTCCTCAAGCTCTGTGATTGGTTGACGTCCGACTGTATTCCATATTTAAAAAAAAAAATCGTAAAAGATAAAATCATACTTTATTCAGCAGTGCTTGCTTTACTCTTTGAAAGTCATCACATGAATGCATTGTAATAAATGGTTCGGCTGCATTAAATATTACACATCTGGCTTAGTTCTTTATGTATCTACAGAGATTGGGCCTCAGAATAGACCGGAAACTATTATTTTACCATTCTGTTTTAATTTCACAATAAAGTTAATAGTAATATTTTGTTTGATATTATTTTGTTTTAGGGTTAGGGTTAGCTGGGTCATGTTAAGACCATCTTTTCTGGTTGCTGTGGGTTTTTCCCATAGCTTTTGTGTTACAAATATCAAAACAATATATGTGTGGTTGTCTGTGGATGACAAAATATATCCGTCGTAAACTAAACCCGAAACAGCAGTATATTTTATTGTGTTAACACTGTAAACTTGACAGCTTTTTAACCCGCACCTCCTACTGGTTAAAGCACGTGATTACACGTTTAGAGTAATTGCAATGCAGGTAGATTGTTTTGCTTTTTAATTACTGTTTTTAAATGCCTTTTTCTTAATGTCTTTCATTTTTGTAAAGCCTTGTGTTGAAAGGTGCTGTATAAATAAACTTGCCTTGCCTTGCCGTGCCTAAGGTCTGCTGCATGTTTTGTTGAATGTGTTATATTTGATGAACACATTTAAATATTAAGAGTACATACAAATTAGGGGGAAAGTAGATGGTCAATGATTGAAATATAGAATAGAAAATATCAAGAAGATACTATAAATGATCTCTACAATAAAACAATTTAGTGCCGGATGTACAAAGATATTAATAGGAGGATGTGCAAAACAGACAAACTTATTAGGCTTGTAAGACGTTCAATCAAATAAGGTTCCCACATATATGAACTCCTCTACTGTTTCAACAGCTGGTCATTAACCTGTTAAGCCCTGAGCCTGTTTTTCAGGTCTCAGGCTCAAAAATGACATTCCCAGAACAAATGACCATATCTTCCCTTCTAAAAGGGTTAAATTAATAATCTTTATTCTCAAAGTAATGATAAACCTGTGACTTGGATGTATTAAAGTCAGAATCAATATAGATGTTTTTTATTTTAGAGAAAATTGTAAATTATAGTGTCCGTCCAAAAATTCTTTTTTACTTATAGTGAAAACTACCCTTGGATGATGGTAAGGTAGACTAAAAGCTTTAGGAATCCAAAGTACAACATATAATAAGATTGATGCAAAACAAGTGACATTTGACCTTTTTAGAGAGATTTAGCAAAAAGAAACCACTTCTGGGGTCATTTGGGTGGATTTTCCATATCTCTGGCCCCCCTTGCTCGATTTTGATGGTTGACACCTCTTTCTGACCGTTAGAGCCAATAGAATCGAAGGGGGAGTCCCCCACACACGCTCATTGTGAAAACAAACGGTGGGGGCTTCACGCATGCAGGGTTGCATCAGAGTGAAGAGATCTCGGCTCTGACATCTGGAAACGAAAAAGCAGTTTTATTGCTTATGGATTATCAGAAATCATTTCAAAGAGGGCACAGACACATTGGATTAACCTATGGATTAACTGCAGCATCGTTTTTTATCGTTTTAATGCCATTGAAGACCAGTTTTGACCAAGGTAAGCCATGTTAGCGTTTGTAGCTACCTAGCGCCACATGTTTTGATGTACGTTTTCGTTTATAGAGTCGCAAATGTTTATCACTGAGTGTTGAGGTGGGCACCCATCGATTCTGTGTCTCCAGACGATGCTAATCGATGGGTTGGCTGTGCATCTAGGATAAGTAATAAGGGAGTTATGAGTGAGTTTAGATGCAATGATAGGTTAGCATATTTTTGCTCGTGGCTAATTCAGAGGCTGAGTGTTAGCATTGTGGGGTTTTTTTGGAGAAAAAAAATTAAAAAGATCAGTTAGCTGAGTTTCTTCCCGTTACATGGATATAAAACATTCATAGTTTATTAAATATTAAGATTCCTTAGACGTTGTTTCCTGCAAATGACGCGTTTATCCGCCCGGTACCGGGGGGGCGGTGCGTAAGAGGTTAAAACATATCTAAATAAATATGTGTATCCCGGGCCATAAATGTAAGTATGCTGTCAGATAAAGCCACGGCATCCCAATTCCCGTATAGAGAGGCGAAGTCCCGCCCATCTACTTCCGACCCATGGGACCTTATTTCGGAAAAATTATGTATTGAAGTCAATGGGGAGATAAAACGTATCTTTCGATCCCGTTTGAATTGTGCCACGAATTACACATATGATGTTTGTCAATCTTAAAAAAGAATTTCCATGTAAAAAAAGTCACAGTTTGTCGTAAAACTGTTGAAATATAAGACTATGAAAAATACGCAACTAGAAAGACTACAAATCCCAGAATCCTGGTCCCGCATGCTGGCTCTTACGGAACCGACTAACTCCCCTTGTGTGTATGTACAGCTCTCAACATGCCCAGACTTGTAGTGATTTTCACCTCGTTTAATACTTTTCGCCTCATTCTGAAAGAAAGAAGTGAAATGTGCCAACGTGACAGCTGTCTTGGTGTGTGGTGCGAGACGGGAGATGTAGTTCATTGAGCGGTTTCACACAAAAATAGTGTTACTTCACAATTTTTTATTTTTTTTTAACTTGCAAAATTATCTTTTAAATTGACAAACATCATATGTGTAATTCGTGGCACAATTCAAACGGAATCGAAAGATAATCTTTCTCTCCCCATTGACTTTAATACATAATTTTTCCGAAATATGGAGCTCCCCCGGAAAGGAAGGGACTTCGCCTCTCTATTGCTTTCAACCCACCAGCTTTTATGGAGAAAATAAGTTATATAATAATTAACAAGAGGCATGTTTCTCACTATTTTATGCATAGAAACAACAGGCTACTGTGTGTGTGAGGAATCAGCTGTTTATTTCATATGAGTTTCATTGTGGCAGCGTCCATCACGTCTCTCCCTGGTTGCAATACACAAAGACAGCTAACTGTAAGCTTGTCACTCAGAGGGGGGTGGGGGCTGTCAATGTTTGTTTGTTTGTTTAAAAATGTTTTCAGTCGCGAAAGGTCTAAGCCAATCAGACATGGACAAAAAAAATAGGATCAGTCTATGTGTCGAGGGGGACCTAGTCACCCCTAGCCTTAGTCCTTTACAGCCATGGTCCGGTCAGACAGCGATCAGCTGATGAGAGAGGAAGAGACAGATCACTGCATAAATATGCAAACCTACAGTTAACTTAACTGCTGGAGAAGAAAGATCGGGGGGGGGGGGGGGGGAGAGCTGTGGCTGATGGGCCATTAGGTGTGTAAACACACAGCTGATCACCTGAGAGCTGCCGTTTCATTCAGACCCCATTTACACAGGAACGTTTTCGTTTACGCACCGTATGCGTTTTCAAAAAAGTCTTCCCTTCACACGCATTCGATTCATTTAACGCAGGGGTGGGCAATTATTTTTTACAAGGGGCCACTTCAGAAACTCGAGCTGTGTTGGGGGGCCGAATCAAAAATAAGTTGAACTTAATTCTGCTCAATATACCAATACTGAAAAGGTGTTTTACAGTATGTTAAAGATAAGAAATGAATCAGCTTTATACAAAAAGAAATGAGTGCTTTTGACTTTTGTTTTTCAGTTAATTTTACTTGTTCAGTGAGAAAAATCCAGTCTGTCTTGGGCTTGAACAAGTGCACGGAAATCTGGTTCAATGTCTGAGGTGGATATGCGAAGGACAGCTGAGAGGTGATCATCAGTGATAGAGGATCTGTATCTGGATTTGTTGAACTTCATCACTGAGAATGTCTGTTCACATATGTAGGTAGATCCAAAGAGGACCATCATCTTCTGAGCACGTCTCCTGATGTGTGGAAAGTTCTCCTCTTTCAGGGAAGAGTAAAACTCAGGCAGTGAGACTGACCTAAAGTGCTCTGACAGAAGTGTGTCAGACTGCAGGTCAATGAGTTCAAGCT